GATCAAATAGCATAGAAAAATAGAACATTCTTTTCTCTATCAGACTATATAAAAGAAAGTTTCTTTAACCTTTCTATAAGGGATAAAAATACCACTGCCACTACTTTTGGTATGCCCTAAGTATATACCATTTTGTAGAGAAATGTTTTCTCTACAAAACTAGTGTTTTAAAAAATGTTGCAACTCGTTTTTACGATAGTATAAACCATGTATTGTGAATTTTTGAAAAATACGAAAAAAAAACCAATGCACTCCTAATGCCAATAAGTTGGTCAGGTATCGATTCAATTTTCTTTCTATTAAAAATACGAAAAAATTTTACTTTCGATTTTTGGCTGAATATTCGTCTGATCGTTTATTGAGCACCGCGTCCTTTCTGTCAAAAAATGACATTATAAATTTAATTCATGTTACGTTATACTATGGAGAAAAATATTCGTTACAGTTTGAAACGTATTCAATCGCTGTAAAGTTATGAAAAATTTGTGAAAAACAAGAGTGTTTTAGAAAGCAAGAAAAGTAAATTATTAGAAGAGAAGAAATACGGCACATTTGTTTTCGGCTTAAAATGAAATTCTTTCAGTGAAATTATGAAGTTCAGTTGAATGAAATTGACGTTTTGATCTGCATAGCAGACAATATTTTATTAAGCTTCCCGAGTACGATCGAATTTATCATCAGAATAAATGATCTAAATAATTAAATATGATTTATTGTCTCCACAGAATATTTAACTATCCAAGCATAGATTACCTGATTGTAACGGTCGACAGTATAAGTCGTATACAAATGCCATTTGTTTATACACCAAATTGATTTGTTTCACAAGGAGTGTACAACGTACACTGTCAAACAGGTCATTCGATGTCTGGAACTCGAAGAATCCGGCCGGATTATTATCGACATCTTCCGGCACGGAATACGGGCGCAAAGATTTCGACATAATATGACATGGTTCCGGTAGGATTGTATCAGATTTTGTCGGATTCTGGCATGTTCCGACGTCGGATCCGATCGGATCTTCCAGGAACTTGTCTTCAGAATCTTTGGCCTTGCTGCTTACATAAATTGTCAAAACAGGACGTTTGTCTTCATCTAAACAAATCAAAAGAAATAAAATTCTAACCCATTCAAGCATAGATTACCTGATTGTGACTGTTGACAGTGTAAGTCGTATACAAATGCCATTTGTTTATACACCAAATTGATTTGTTTCACAAGGAGTGTACAACGTACACTGTCAAACAGGTTTTTTATGGCTAGCTTTTGGTAAATCAAAACTGTTGGATGTCTCAATAATGTTTTATCTTCATATGAATAACGGAATACAAAACCTGTACATTCTGGATTTGCTTGTATATAATTTTCTAAGGATTGAGCAACAACATCTTCGCGATTTATAGAACCTTTTGTTGACTCGTACTGAGATCCTCTCACAATAATATAATAAACCGAATTTCGTTTAATAGTATCAATGATTAAACCAAAATTTCTGATAAATTCGTAGTTCCTATAAGTAGCAAACCGATAATTAGGCCCAATTTGGTTTTGAAGTTTTTCTAACAGTTCGTTGAATTTTTCGATTTCATTCGGCGTACAATGTACATACGCGATGTAGGCGTACGAAACAAGATAACGATAATCATGTGTTTCAGGAACGCGTAGACATAGATGACCTTGTGAATTGATCTCTGACATACGATTTTTTGGTATAAAATCGTAAACTCTTTTGGCAAGCTGATTTTCATCTGTCTTTGCTGAATCAGTACCAAATATAGTAATGACATACAGAGCATCTTCATTTATAAGTATTAACATATTCGGGTTTGTTCTCCAGTTTGGATAATGTGAATAATCAATGATTTTGAACTTCTCATTTCCAAGATCCTTTTCTATTAGTTGTAGTGCATCATTCTTTTCTTGTTCATTACAATCAGAATAGTTCAAGTACACGAGTGGTTGAGAACAATGTCGCACGTATGGTTCGATATCCATTTGGGTACATAATACTGGGTAATTATAATCGTTGATGTTTGGCGTAACAAGATCTTGTATTGGATGATTAAAATTTCCAGGATTGGTCACAATCTAAATATTACAAATCAATTATTTCTCTCTAACTGATAGATGAATGACGTGTATAACTACTGTACCGTTCTGAAGCGAAGAATAAGAAAAATGATTTTTTTTCTTATTTGATGAATTTTTTTAAATTTTCTTTCGTTCTATATGTCAGACCTAATGCATTTCTAAAAATATGAGTTCTTGAACTATTTCATTCACCTGGTATAACAGCTATATTATTGCTTTCTTGTTTTTCAACTCCAGTGTGTCGTAGAAAAGTTGAAATTTTCATCTGGATGGAATACTTCTTAAGCATCATCTCTGCCATGAATTGAGAGACACAAAGGTGCTGGCGAAAAACTGATTTTCAGACTAAAAATCTACGATTAACTTAAATTAACAATATCTCTCCTTAGTAAAAGAAAACTTAATTGTTATTACAATTATCTCGTTAGTAAAATCGTGTAAGATCTGACATATAAAGATATTGATAAGATACTCTTGATAGTGTGTAGAGAACACTAAAACAATATTGCGGATCAATTACAGAACAAGCGATCAGTGCCCCGTTTCTTACACCGGATCCTGACCTAGATCATCAAGAAATGTAATTCGGAATGTGAGCTGGAAGGTGTACAACTTGTTTATGCCTTTAGTGTATCCTTATTTTCTTCATCTTATTTAGCGTTTTTCATCAGATTTTTTTCTCCAACTTTTTTCTTCGCTTTTGGATTCGTTAATTGCTAGACTAACTCTTCTTGTACCAGTCACGAGATATCGACGTCCTCTTCCTTTATGGATAAGACAAAAAATAAAATTCCTGCATACGCTTCGAAATCGTTATTATTATCACAGAATAAACAAAGAACAAAATCATCACAATTATATAGTACAACGGCAATTAGTTTCATTCTTTATAAACGAACATTGGCACGTTCAGTATCAAAAATTCCTGAAGACCTGTTCATCACCAAATGATCCTAATGCCGTCTGGCGTTTCACGGCTCGACACTTCCAAAAGGCGAATGTTCAAATCAAGGATCCTTTATACAGCCGAAGATGTAGTGGAAACAGATCTGTAAACAATTTTAAATGGATTACATACACATTATTCTGTCCATTTTCAGTTCCCAAATCACAAAGTCCTACCAGAGGCCAGCATTGATATTGAATGAGAATTAGCCGAAGTCACTGAAACATACTTGCAAGAAGAAGTATCACCATTAGATACACACAGTAAGAAATATTGTGTCACAGTTGCAGTAAAATGTGTCGCAGCTCCTGTCAGAAAATTGTATCGCAAAAGAATGTGTCACATGTTTGTGTCGCCATTACTAAGAGCTTTTAGATACAGTTCTTGAGGCCATTTGAGGATCTACTCTATTAAAAAACTTGCTAAATTTATGTTTTACTATTTTCAATAGTCTTTATCAGAATTTTTCTCGGGCTCTCTTCAATTTTGATGAGCTATAGGTCGCTAATACGTAAAAGATAAGAAAATTTTCGGGCTTTTTAAGTTCTTTCAATTTTGCATTGATATTATTCGTGGCTAAAGATCCCTGTCTAAGTCTTTTTAACATTTTTTTCATGTTAAACATTTTTTCTTTCACGAAAACCAACCAATCTGCGGCCTTGACTACGCTATTAATCTCAAATCTAGGAAACTGAATATTTTGAAGGCCTATGAATATTACGGGCGGATTGAGCTCGTCGACATTACGCACCCAAAACGAACTAAAAATATTCTTAAAATCGAAAAGTGATGAAAAATAACTAATTTCCACTGTTTTCTTTACAGTAGAAATACGCGGCGGAATGTGTCGCAGCCTCAATAGAAAAAATGTGTCGCAAGTGACTCCCGGTGTCGCAGATGATTATGTCGCAATTTGTGACACATTATTTTTTAGTGTGCAACATACAAAGAAGTGTTAGACACCATCACTCGTCTTCATCCAAAAAGAGCAATAGATCCGTCTTGAACCTCTAACATGAGTACAAAACAGCTGCCCACATCGTTTTCTTCTAACAGGTGTCCCAATCAGGTGTCCAGACCGAAAATTCTAACTTTTCAAAATCCTACTAAAAATGGCCCAAATGTGATATTTTCCGCTAGCTGAATTGAAGAAGGGAATTTTAGCTCACTTTTCGGCTCTGAATCTGGTACAGTAGTCATTTTATTTTTGTCGTCACTATAACCAACAAAAAATCTGAAGAACGATTTTTCAGCTTAGAAAGTTGGTCCTTTTGAATGTATTGAGTATTCTTGTTTTCATATTTTTGCTTAGCTTTGTACAGAAAAACGTTTGATATCAACGAGATATCTTTTAACTCTAACCCGGTCTCATCACGGTCAAAGTTGAGCGAGATATTCACGAAATACCAGTGCATCATTATTTCTGAGACATCCGCTATTTTTACGGTTTTCGTTAATAACTTGTTTTCTCAATACTGTATTCCGTCTTGTGAAAAACTATCTAGAATCCCTCGCTAGTCATGAAACATCATTCATTTACTTTCTCCAAATTCGTGCACAACGAGTACTCAATAGATCATAGATGTACTGTGCATATTGGAGATTGAATAAAGCACCAAGAAGACAGTAGCAATGATGATATATACACAAATCACTGTCTCTCTTTTATCATTGTACTGCAATTCGTCATCAATTAATTTTGCTTCAATATTTCGTTATTTAGGGTATACCACTACTCGTAAATTAATAACTGGTAACGGTGTACAAATCCACTGTTCTAAAATTTCTTCTAATTTTCGAATCGTTTCCACGAGTTTTCTCGATCTAGAGGTTTTTCGATAAAGCTGAGGCGACAAACCTTTTTTTGCTTATGTTTTACCCTTGGTTTACGTGGATAATAATAATTTCGATATTATTTTATTTACCCATCCAACAGCAAGAACGATTTGTTCAGGATATCCGATCTTCATAAATCACACATCATAAAATTTAGGAAAATTGAATGTTGAATTTATTAAGCCAGAGGTTACATAAAAATGAAAAATTTTATGAAACTTTTTACAAGTTTCGTAAATGTATGATTTATGAAAACAGGATAATCCATTTGTTCATCTTTATTCTTTCTATCTGCGAAAGGTTTATAGATGTAGTTCGTTCGATACCTATACTTTCTTGTCTTTCCGATGAATTAATGTTTCTTGATCGTGTTTATATCTAGTGATCGAAGTACATGTTCGAACTCTCTACTTTACATGACACTCTAGCTCTCTTTCACTCTTGGAATCTTTACTACTCTCTTCTTCCATCTGAAAAAGAACTAACAATACGAAGAGCTGAATTCAGAAAAAATGATCGGCAACTAAGACTCTTATCATAAAAATACACACATGTTGTCAGCAACTGATTCACCTTTAAAAACCAATACCGGGATTCATTTCGATATTTTTCGAATAATTTTCAAAATACAAAACCTTTTTTAAAAACTCTTTTATCATATCCCGATGCTTTCATTAATCAACTGTCTTCCACAGAGCAGTTTGTCGTGCCAAATACCAGTGTCATAACATATAATGAGAGAGAGGAAAGAAAAATCAACATATGTCTATGTAACCCCTATTTTTTTGTCATCTCGAAAGTCACTCATCCCGCGTTTGTTCGGTCAGTATGGATACCGAACTTTTTTTCTGTAAATGAAAAAAAAGAATTTTCTTTTGCTAATAAACAAATAAACAAGTATCTATCCCGAAGATTTAAAAAATCTTGTCTGATATTTGAACACAAGACTACTATTTGAATGGCTTTGACTAGGAGATAAAACACAATGTGAAAAATAATTCACGCGCTCATAAAGCCTGGTCAATTCTTTAATGAAGAGCAACTAGACTTATTGAACAGGTAATAATAAATTTGAAACCTTTTAAGAAAGCCTATTTTATAGCCCATAAAATTCTCAATCAGATGAGGTATTACTTGAATTTTTTTTGTTGAGGCGTTATCGTGAAAATGGAACTTTAAGGTAGCAGAGTACGTTAGGATAGGATAGGTTCTGAGAGAGTTTTCCAGAAAGCCTATGGCACAAAAAATGCCTTTTTTGCACTTTTATTGCATAAGCGCACATGTCCATTAGATCCACCAGGGTCGATAAACTATAGCAGAGTATCAACGAATTATTTAATATTCAAACAGCTCTTAAGTAAAACGCATTTAACAGAATCAAACTTATTTTGTGTTTTTCTCTAGGCTGTTTTTTTAGCTTCAGGGCTTTCGCCACGTACAGGAATTTTCGGTAACAACATTTCGGAGAAAGAAAATTTTTGTTATTGATTTGTAAATAATACCTACAGATAGGAGTTGACAGAGTCCGATTTTTAAAGTATGCTTCTAATTTTTTTATAGAAATGAGGATTTCTAAGAAACTTTCTAAGGGTTTTTCTAACTTTAAAGTTCTGTTATGCATCAGAGAAATCAGCAAATGAGAAATTCAAAAATCGGGTTCTGTCAACTCTGTCTCCTAAACATAGGTGTTTACTGCAGAACAAAAACAGCCCGAGCTCTCTGTCATTTATCTGGAATGAGAATTCTTGTGCGTGGTAGACGCCTATTTTTGGCCCTTGTTGTGGCACCCTCCTACGAACAGGTGCTAGTGGCGCCCTAAACGAGTTTTGTTATCACGCTCTGACATGGTCAGTATCTCCTGAACGGTTGATTTAGATCAGACCTACTGGAGCTAAGATAGGTTTCTGACCCGTGGGGGGTCCTAAATCAACCTTAACTAATACTAGTTAATTAATAACAACAAGGAGAGAATTCTTTCTTTCTTTCTTTCTTTTCTATAGTAAACATTCTTCGCACATTTCTTTATTGATCCACGCAAGAACCAAGTTTTGATGATGAACGAAGAATGGACAACATACTTTTCAATGATAATCCCTTGCTGATCTTGTCCAATTCAATGAGATTTTGAGAGTCAAAAATGAGTCTAACTATATATATGTCGAAAACTTTCGGTGATTTTCGTTTTTTGCTGAAAATCTTAGTACTTTTCCTACGTGAAAATTCAAAAACGGTAAGGTGGTTAGAAACGATAAAAGAAGCATATTATTCGACTCAGTGCTTGATGCTAATTCCAAGTATGATATTTTTATTGCATAAATGATGAGCTCTGGTGGAGAAAATTGAGGAGCACCGGCAGAATTCTGGTTTTCACCCCTGATTTAGAAAAAAAGAATTTTCTCAGTAACAGAGCCAAAGAAAGAAAGTGATACTTACTTTTAAAGCTCGTTGAATAGTGGTTATAATGAAGTAAAAAGGTCGACCTCATCTTTCTACAAAAACAACTAGATAGGTTTGCAACTGTTTATGAACTTTTTACACGGGGAGTCCAATACGTCCATATTGAATAGGCCTGTGACTTTGACCTCGATCAAGCATCATTCTCGTACTCTATTTTTAATGCTGAATCTGAAAAGAACACCTTCAAAAAGTTAGAAGAACGAAAAAGAAAACAATTCGAATGTTTTTGAATCGAAAAACATGTTCATTTTCGAAATTTTAGCCTTCGAATTTTTTCAATTTTTTGTCCTTAAAAAGCGTTTTAAAAAAAACTAAAAATCACTTTTTCTTACTCAGCTCGATGTACTCTATCCAACCATGTATAAATAAATGGGAAAAAATATCTTACTCGAACTTTGAATTTCTGGCACCCTATAATTAACGGTGCTTATCAGACAATCTTCTTGAGAAAAATTGTTATATCGTTAAAAAGGATTTTCAACGCACATATTACTTTGTTAATTAACTTCTCTATGCTCTTTTGAATATTCATATATGCATAAATATGCAGCAGAATATAACATACAAAGACAATCCTTTTCACAGACAACAAACAGACATAACCGAATAAAATTGCAGGAAGTAATACCGGACGTTCTTATCATATATTATGTACAACGACTGAGGTTGTGCAATTACAAATTGTTATCACCCTCAACGAGCAGGTACAGTTGAACACTATATTCTGCTGCATATTCATGCGTACATGACCTAACTTTGGTTTTGTCCAAAACAGAGCCTCAAGGCCGATTACTTATTATAACACGTTCAGATGAAAAACTACTCTTAAATGAACTAAAGTGGCTCTCATCTGATCGGCTTTGTTAATCTATTAACTGAAGAATAAAAATGAGTTTTCATAGCCATTAAAGATTTTTCTTCCAGATCAGGGGCGGGACTGTTTCAAGTTTCGTGGTAAAACGGCATTATCCGACAAAAAAGAAAGTAAACGTTTAGAGAGCTTTTGTTTTTCATTAGTCGAGCTACTAAAATTTATCGCGTTTACCACAAAAATTTTACATGAAGCTTTGTTTTTCAAGAAGTTCGTGCAAACGGTAGCATGGCTAGACGTTTTACTCAAATACTTTTATAATACATACATTTAATTTTATACGTTGAGATTGAACAGCTGTTTTGAACCATTGGTATAGTTTTGATGTTATACTATCCGAACGTTTCTTTAGCGTTGAATCAGCACAGTGAATAGCACCAGAGAGCTCAATAGGTAAATCTTTAATTTCGTCTAATAAGAGTAGAGGTACAGTTTCCAAATAAAATTCTAATCCCTCTATTGCTTGAATGCTTTCAAGTTTAATTTCTCCCTTCAGTAAACATTTCCATATATTTGGAGACTCTAAGTCGTTTTTTTTATTCTTCTCTAAATCATAGTTGAGCATATGTTTGGCCCAGTTATTTTGATATGTGATATCATCCCCAATCACATAAAATCGAATCGGACATAACTCACATATATATTCAATCCATAATTCTGGATCTTGTTTTGATAATATATTTCCGAACGGAATCAACGGTGCATTATTGGACACGTAATCATACAACGTTCGAATTATAACTGTTTGTCCAGTATCCAATTGTGGATCTAAAATAATAGAAAATATATCCTAGTCTTAACATTAGTAATAATTCTACCTACAGAACTTTTGAAGATAATCCGAAGTATTCTGAATTGTCTTATAATTCACCGTGAGTGGTATCAGTAAAATGTGACACGGTGAAGCCTAGCGAATAAAAATTTATAACTGGCAATCATTTTCGATAAAATGCAAACATACGCAAACGTTTTTGGATTCAGTCATTGTTTAATTGATTACACCTTCTGTTGTTAAGAGACCATATATATAATCAAGTAAAGAAGTGAGTATGAAAAAGAAAGGTAGATATTGCTGTTTCTATTTTGTTGCTTTTTACTCATTCATTCTTCTAGCAACAACAAAAGGTTTTTTCTGTTCTGTTAGAAACATTTTTCCGAGTTCAAAAGACTGAAAAGAGAACGGTCATATGTTCGAAGAGTGAATTATGATCTATATATGAGCGAAGAGCACAATCATTGTACCGCTGTATCCGAAAGAGTGCACCGGCTATAAATCAGCTTCCACTGAACCGATTTTGATAATTTTTTTTGTTCTACTTTCTACTTGTCTATGTTTGGTCATTCACTTGTGAAAAAACCAAGGCTCTATCTCTTTTAGTTCCAAAGAAACTGTAGCCACAGTTTCAAAAACCTGGATTTTAGCGCCGCCTGCAGAAAGAAAATCTTTTTTTTTCTGTCAGTTTCCGTTTTTTTCTCAATTATTTTTAAGTCAGAATTGTAGAACTGGTCAAGAACTTTCAGAATATGTGATTTATTTTAGCTTCAGACTAAGTTATTATGAACGAAAATTGTCATCAATACTCGGTAAGACCCTTCACATTTTTTTGTAGAGCGACATTAAAATCATTGCTGTTCCGTATGGATGAACCTTTAAAAAATTCCTTTT